GGAGTTGTCTAAAAAGGAAATGTAAAGAAGTAAATGAGACGTCTCAAAAAGGAAAGTGTAAAAATTTAAATGGGACGAAGAGAGTATTATTCTACATTTGAAAAGGTGTATAATTTTAGATTGTCTACTTTATGCACTTTAAACATTATAAAACTTATATTTCACCGTACTATATGTTCTATTTGTATTTTGTTGTTAAATTTTGTATTCTTTTTTGTTTAGGGGCCTCAATTCACCATTTGAAATCGGGGTCTCCAAACTCATTAGACGGCCCGACTGAATTGGATGCATTGACTAACTAAAAATTATAAATGCATTTATTTTATTTCTCCTCGATATGATTAAGCTAGTTGAGTATGAGATAATGATATGGGTTGTATATAAAATGATTTTTTCTCACAGCGGGGACCATGACCCTTGCATAACGTTTATTTCGACTGAAGCATGGATAAAAGCCCTAAACTACTCCATTGTTGATGACTGGAGACCATGGTGGGTAGATCATCAAGTTGGCGGGTAAGTACGCGCGTGACTTCTCATCAAACTGAATAAGTAGAAACCAAAATATTAAAATTGGTATTATCTCCGTTGTTAAATAAATGCAACATGTTAAATTTTACACTATTCATACTATTTCCGTTCTTAAATCAGTACGTAGTATATGTCATGCACTTCTAGATTCAAATTAAATTTATACGTAGTATGATTATGTTAAGACTTGGGGTTCCATCCTAAAAGGTCAACTTGATAGGAGGAGTAGCCCAAAGACTTATATAGTGTTTTATTGTTTTATAGCTTTCCGGTGTGAGACAAATACTTTAACACCCCCCTCAGTCTGAACCGGGCTGGACAATATCAGGGTGTATAAATGGGCCAAACGAACTCTTAACAAGCTACCCGTAATCATGAGTGCTAAACAAGCAGTCAAACCACAACCGGAATTGGCTTTGGTATAAGATTCGGGGTTCCATCCTAAAAGGTCAACGTGATAGGAGGAGTAGTCCAAAAACTTATATAGTGTTTTATTGTTTTATAACTTTCCGGTGTGGTACAAATACTTTAACGGATTAAATTTATACGCATTTTATACGTAGTATGATTCAATTTTCTTTTGTTTCTGTTGACATACAATCCCTATTATATTGTAGATATACAATGACTTACTCAAATGGGATGACATATGCAACGGTAAAGGTAAGATTTTTCTTCGTTTTTATTATGCAATGAAAAACGTACTATTCTATCTTTCAAAAAGAAATACTTGTACGTACTATTATTAATCCATCTCATTATAATGTTCTTATTATCCCATCCGGTGTCCTATAAGCTAGACTTTTTATGAGATGTAGATATGTTGATACTCCCTTCATTCCTAAATTATCTTCTAAAGCATATATTTTGCATGACGATTAAAAAATTAGGTGTTGTGTGATGGAGAATTATACATAGGATAGAGCAATTTGTAAGAATGTATAGAAAATGTTGTGAATCACAATTTTTTACCAAAAGAAAAAGAACATACGGAGTGTTATTTTAGAATAAATGACAAAAGAAATTAAGAAGATAATGAAGGGACGATATGTTCATATGATAGTGTCAATGTGAGTACGGATGTTTTTTACTTGAACTGTTTTCACATAGAATTAAGGGACGATATGTTAATACGATACCAACAAGAGATTTTTTGTCAAATGTAAAAACATTATGAGGAAAAGTAGATGTATATTCTCTTTGACGTCGTTGGTCTAAACTCATCAAATTTCGTACTACTTATAACTATTTCCGGTAATTGGAATATCGGATATAGTAGAGGACCTAAGGGGATGTGCCCCGTTTCGGGTCCTAAAATTCTCTAGTAACACTTAATGTAAAAATCAGTGATCTCGATTCGGGTCCAGAGTTTTTATTTTAGATTAAGTTTAGTGTCTAGTGTCTCCCACTCTCACAAATCTATGGGTCCGCCACTGATCGGATTGACATATGATTTGATCATGTCAATGGTTTATGAGTTATATATCCACATGTAATCATCATGAATTATTGCAATGCATAATTGTAAAATACTAAAATCAATTACACTTTCTAGAATACGAATATACACTCGAGTGTGGAGACTAGGCTACCACAGTAGTACCACCTAACCGTGCTTACACGTGTTTAAAAGTTAGGCTGTATAATTCCACCTTGACTTTTCAACATGGTTTTGGTGGTTGTACACATACACAAAATGTGTACACCTTTTGTTTACATTCGTCTTTACCTGGCAGATAAGTTGTCTATCCACAGACAACTCTACAGAATTGTCTGTAGACAGACAACTTATTTGCTGGGAACAGATGAGTGTATACAAAAGGTGTACACATTTTGTGTACACCACGCATTTTTCTTTCAACATTATTCAATCCTTTAAATAGAGAAATTACAGACTCCTTTTACATACAAAACACTCAAAACACTCAAAGTAATACCAGCTTTACAAAATATATCAAGTTATATATACTCTTTAAAATGGGATGGATCAATAAATGCATGGTCATACAAAATAAGTTGACCGAGAATTTTGCAAAATCTTTTTAATTGAATTGAAATTTCCAAGTATGATGTGGTTGATGTGTTTAAATCTTGTATGATGTGGTATTTTACCGTTGTCAAATTCTGGTCCAGATTGTTTTGCTCTAGCTTAGTGTGATCTGTTTGAACTTGTTCTGGTCTGGGACAAAACGAAGTCCAAGTCAAAACATCTTAACCCTATTTCTATAAATACAATCCATATTTTATTTATTTTATCAATTTCGTAATTCGTATATATTCAAGCTTAGTTCATCCACTTAATCATACATTTTTAATATAGACGGACCTAGTTTACGGCCACATTAGTATACAATTTTACCACACTTTTTAGTATCTCGTACCACTTGTTAGTTGTATTATACAAGTATGTTTGTCTCGGAAAAGTAGAAATACGAGTGTACGACAATATACCACACGACTCAGGAAAAGTATAGGCTGAGGATCATGATCAATCCCGACCAAAATTGTCTCAGTTATAGGCTCGGAATAGCTAACGAATGATGACATTTGCGTTTTGACACGGAAAAAGTGGAGCCAAAACTTGGCTCGACATATCCGAGCCAAGACCGCAAAAGGAGAAAGAAATTGGGGTGGTAACCTTATCCGCTTCAAAATGCGCCTTAACTCATGACGGATACAATTCCGTACCAAATATTATAGGGTCATGTACTCATGTCATCAACTGAGAGGTTAATGAATTTATATATGTTGAATATGTTGATTAAAATTGTCGAGTAATTCCTTGGTGAGTTGTATTTAATGGTTAATTAGCATATTGCACAGACTTAGTACACAAATTAAAGTGCATCATTTGGAATTATATATGTTTGGGATGGTTTGCACTTTGTGTTGCAGGGAGCAGGGCATACAACCCCAGAATCTGCACCTTATCAATCTCTAATCATGTTCACAAATTGGATCCAGGATGGTGTACTTTAGACCCATTACATCACATAGGTCTCTATGATACCTATCAAGAGTCCACAACAACTTTAATTTTGTGTTATGTTTTTAATAAATCAGTAAGTAAATCGCATCTAAGTTTCCACAGATATCACTATAAACTTACTCAGTATTTCCTTAAAATGATCATCAGATTAATCTTTCTTCATCGATGCGCACTCTTTATTTAATGATCTTCTTTGTTTATGATTAAATTGATATTTTATTCAGAATAAAAACATGATTGACATACTTGGAGACAAGGTTATGCTTTACTAAGAGTATGTTTGGCACAATCGCACAATAAGATGAAAAAGATATTTTTTGAAGTTTTAAATAACTATTAGCTTTTAATTACCGAGTGAAAAGATTTAAAAAAAAATTGGCAATTTTTTTATATAAAAATATGACTGTTTGATTTAGTTCTATGATACACAAGTTGTTCTGATTAATTAATGTTAAAACTTACGTTGTAGCTTCTAAAAAGATATATTGTTTTGAGAAATACTTTTTAAAATTGTAGTTATAAACATTAGAAATTGCTCTAAATAGGAGCAAAAATGTTTTTAAATTCCAAAATAGGAGTATCATGTTTTTTATTCCCTGAATTTTAAAGCCACTATTGCCAAACTTGGCAGAAATTTACTTCTATTTAAGAAATAAAAAACATGATACTCCTATTTTGGAATTTCAAAACTTTTTTACTCCTATTTAGGGAATTCACCCAAAATTGGGAAAGTTCCCCAAATAGGACTAAAACAGTTTGAAAATTCCAAAATAGGACTGTCATGTTTTTATTTCCAAAATAGGAGTAATTACTATCAAGTTTAGAAAATACTGTCATGTTTGAAGTCTGATACTGCCAAAACATGACCCAAGTGAACACTCTGTACATGGGTCCGCAAATGTTAGCGGGCAACATGAAGAAAATCAGCAACCGAACCCATTCATGCAACAAATGGCCGGATTCTTCCAACAATTGGTGCAGAACGTGGTTCCTAACAATAATGGAGATTCACGGGAATCCATTACGATTGAGAAGCTTAAAAAGAATGGTGCTTCCATTTTCTTCGGAAAAAGGGTGGATACTCCGGAAATTGCTGAATTTTGGCTCGAGCAAATGGCCCGACTACACCAAAATGACTCTAGTTGAGAGTGACAGAAGAAAGCTTGTAAACATGAAGCTTTGAACAATTCAGTATAAATTTCACAAATGAGAAACTGCAACAATACTTTTATTCAATACTTCAAAACCTAAATTAAGAAGTTGTATCATTTTTTAGCTCCCAATGCATTGTAAGAGTAACAACATGTTTCAAAATGGAAATTTTTTTATTTCCCATAATCACAAAAAAAAAATCAAAGAAACATAAGCTTTTAAATTTTAGATCCACTTCAAGCAATTAAGCATGCTATGGAAGTTAGAGATCAAGATAAGATTAAGCGCTCTACTGAATTTTTAATCTAGTGCATAGGAATCTGCGTAGTGAATATACGGAGTATAACAATAAGCCTTGCAGACCGTATAAAAAAACATATGAAATATGTATACACGCACAACTCCAACACACACACACATATATGTAATAATTACGTACATACATACAATTATATGCAAGTACAATTTGGGATCATGAGTAAACTACTTTAAACCCTCCATATGTGGTCATTAAAAATCAAAAGACAAATAGAGTACTCCACGCACTGGCTTAATAACCAGGAATAATAATGCACAACTGCTCTCTAAGCTTATGAAGTACTACCTCCATCCCGCTTAAAGGTTCTCATTGCAAAATGACACGGTTATTTAGACAATAGTTAAATAAGGTAATCCGAGTATATTTGAGAAATAGTTTTGATGAATATATAATATAATAAGGTCATTGATGATAAGTGTGATGTTAAAGATGTATTATTTTTAATTGTTGATGATTAAATTGTCATTTAAGAGTATATATGGTTTGCTAAAATAGAAATGAGAACCTTTCTATGGGACGTCCAAAAAGGAGAGCGGGAACCTTAGAATGGGAAAGAGGGAGTACAAGTTGCATACCCTTGTCACTTATGAGCATTCATTGTTATTTCTGATGCTCCACTGAAGAGGATTCCAAATATGATATTACAAGGTCAGCTGCACTGCAACCGGATGATATTGCTTTGCCTACAGATAGCCCTCCCTTATGATTACCTGCATAGAAAAATCCAGGAAGGTTCTTCTCCATCCTGTCAATTGATTTCAGGACCGAACCATAGTTCCGGCCGTATAAAGGAAATGCCTTACTCCAAAAGACATGGTTTACAAACATTGGCTCTCCCTCCACCCCCAACAACTGTTTAAGGTCACAAGCTACTAACTGCTTCAGTTCATCCCTGGAAGCTTTTGCAAGTTCTCTATTTCGACTCCCCCCGACAAATGTAGTGTAAAGATGGACATCACTGGGTGCTCGGTCTGGAAACATCATAGATGAGAAAATAGTGCCTAATGTCTTCAAGCCATTTTGTTCTTCTTTAGATGGTACAAGAACCCCAAACCCCTCAAGTGGTCGTTTTACGCTCTCTCTTTTGAATGCCGTGATCATGACAGATAGAGGAACATATTCAATCTCAGGAAGAAAGTTGAGCAAAAAAGGAGTTCCCTTCTTTGTGAACTTCATATTCTTGACATCAGACAGGGGGGCCGTCATCACAACAGCATCAAAAGATTCATCCACTGAATGTATTACGTGAGGTGTGGCATAAGAAACTAACCAGCCATCTAGACAGTTTTCTTTGTGGCAAGAAGATAATTCCAGAACCTTTGATGAAAGTTTGAGTTCATCTTCGCCTAGTTTTTTGCACAGTGCATCTGTAAGTGTCTGCATTCCACCTATAAAAGAAAAAGATCCACGCTTATGCCTATTCTTTGAAGCATCAATTGATCCCTGATTCTTCTTCTTAGACAATATCTTAGATTGGATTGCCCCAAATATGACTGAGCTAAACCTTTTCTCCAGATCCCACAGTTCAGGAAAGGCGTGAGTCATAGAAAGTGAATCAGGATCACCGCCAGTGGTGCCGGCTACAAAAGGATCAACCAGATAATCAACAACTTCCTTCCCAAAATGACGCTGAAAAAATTGACCCACACTTTCATTCATATCAGACTCTTTGGGGAGCTTCCTATTCATCCATAGAAAAGGCTCCTTGAGTATTTGCAGCTTTGAGCCCACAGAGAGAAAGTTGCTAGTTATCATCTGAATAGGATTTATCGGTAACAAAACAGGAGTTCCATTCCGGACTATATACCGCTTGTTCTGTGAGATCGGAAATTGTTGTTTCTCTCTAAGTCCGAGAGAATCCAGTAACAATTGGACTTCCATTTCACTTTCAGTCATGGTATTGGCTCCTTCATCCCATACTAGGCCATCTTGGGAACCACTTCTCAGCTTCCCTCCAGCTCTCCCATCAGCTTCAAATACTGTGACATTCAAACCCTGCAATTTCAACCTGTATGCTGCAGCAAGGCCGCTGATGCCAGCACCGACCACAGCAACTCTCTTTTGAGAGAGGTTTGGCTGGTCTTGGAGAGGGGTTGAAGCTATGTCCATTCTCGGAACGAGAATCCACTCCAACCGGAGCTGAAGTCAAGACGATGGAGGAAATACCACCTGCAAAGGTCGCCGCCCAAATACCCCACGCAGCAGGCCGGTCCGCAAGTTTTTTATGGGCGCTAGGCCAAGAAAAAAGGGTCCTGCTCTTATAAAAACGAAGAGGGCGCTAGGCCAGTCAAATAGGCAGGTCAGTCCTTGAATTAAAAAAGATCTAATTCACATCTGGAATTGTCAAAGAAAAGTTCAATTTTCATTTTTTAAGGTTAAGGAATCGGTAAACAAGGTCCAATTCGCACCCCTAAACTATTAAAAAGTGTCAAAATTGTAATAAATCGAAAATAAAAAACAGAAAACAATTAAAAATTAAAAAATTAATCGGTTGTTTACCTGTAAAATGGAATTTGAACCATTTTTGTTGTTTCGAGATGTCAATTGAACTTTTTTTTGTTCAGAGACTGAATTGAACTTACACGACCAGTACAGGGGCCTATTTGACCATTTAGCCTAATTTAAATAGAAAAAAAGGCCTTATATCAACATAAGAGTTTTCATTTCCATAAATATGACAACTTTTACATTTTCAAAAAAAATGACTAATTAAAAACACACAGAGTAATAAAATTCTCGTCGTTCCATCTTCCATGGGGGCACATCATGGTTGTGGATCGATTTGACTATGATACTATATTAAGATTTGCGGTTTCATTCTCTAAGATCACCCTGATAAAGAGAAAGTTCAAGATCTTAATATAGTGTTTAATTGTTTTAGAGATATGATGCGGGGATAATAAGACATATCATTCATTTTTATCAACTATGCACCACCGTTCTCATCCAAAACTTCTCATCTTCTTCTATAGTTTCTCTCAACACTCCATATATGTCCTCATCCCAAATGTCCATAATATATCTTCTAATGAAATTCGCACTCATTCCTTCGCATAATGCCATAATTAATGTGACCAGGGTTGTTACTATTTTCTTCGTGCTTAAGTTAGTGGGTGTTTGGATCTACTTTTTAAAAATGTTTATGCTTCAAAGAGCATAAGCAAATATTGGATTGTTTGGGTGAAAGTGCAAAAGTATATATAAGTGATTTGAAATGCTCCTAGAAACAGTACTTTAGAAGTTGAGGGAGATCAACTTCCGGAAAACTGATTCTGATATTACTTCTACTTTTTAAAAAGATGTACAAGTAAAATCAATTTCAACACTCCATTAGCATCCTTTTTCAGCTTATGGCATTCTTGATATGTGACCTTCCTTATGGTACATCTTCTAATGAGAGAATCTTGACCATCCTCAGGAGTATTGAATCTGGGACCTCTCACAAGGGAGAGTGAGTGGGCGACCAACTGAGCTGACCGCTTCCTCAACATATAGTTCACGTTCTATCAAGTTTCTAAAACTCGGTAGGAACTTATTTCCCAACTAAGGGGAGTTTTAAACTTATTTCTCAGAATAAGTTAATATCATCCTTGTCAGCAAACATGCAATGCAATTCGCCACGTCACTTGTTCACGTCATTAACTAGTCATTCAATATAATTTAATTTGAGTATGTTTCAGAATAAGTGAAAGAATTGAGCATGCTATGAATTGAATCCACGACCATGCAATTGGAATGCTAAGTAGAAACCACTGGACTAACAACCCCTTTTATTACATGCTACCCTTTACATGTATTTAATATATTTCGTATATAGATTTAAGTTCATGACTATTATTTTAACTCGTGAATTACTCGATTCTTTGAAAATGTATATTACTTCTTCCTAAAAATAGTTAAAGAATATAATAGAAAATTTAAATTGAGAAATTCAATTAAAATTAAAAACCCAATTAAAAATTATAATAACAAAGTAATTTAATATAACTCAACACTAAATCAATTAAAAAATAAATAATTTGAGATATGAACTTTTTTTAAAGAGCTCAACAAAATATTATAAACATATGACATGTGAGGCCTTAACATATCCCAATTCAAAAAATTAATAAAAAACGTGTAAAAGTTCATCTAAGAATTTTTTATACGTCTCACCCCAGCCCAACCTCGACACGAGTTCGACTCGATTTCAGCTTAAGTTTTATTCACTAATATTTGTACATTCGAAATCGAATAAGATGGTCAAATAGAAATTAAAAATGTTTTATTAATTTTACACGTTTTTTATTAATTTTCTATGGTCGAATAAAATGTATAAAAAGAAATCTTCGATGAACTTTTACACGTTTTTTATTAATTTTTTGAATTGGGTTATGTTAAGGCCTCACATGTCATATGTTTATAACATTATGTTGAGCTATTTTAAGAAAACATTAATTTCATATCTCAAATTATTTATTTTTTAATTGATTTAGTGCCGAGTTATATTAAATTAATTTCTTATTATAATTTTAATTGGGATTTTAATTTTTAATTGAATTTCTCAATTTAAATTTTTTATTATATTCTTTAGCTATTTTAGGAAGAAGTAATATACATTTTCAAAGAAACAAGTAATTCACGAGTTAAAATAATAGTCATAGACTTAAATAAATCTATATACGAAATATATTAAATACATGTAAAGGGGAGCATGTAACAAAAAGGGGTCATTAGTCTAGCGGTTTCTGCTTAGCATTTCAATTGCATGGTTGTGTGTTTAATTCCCAGCATGCTCAATTTTTTACTTATTCTATAACACGCTAAAATTAAATTACATTGAATGACTAGTTAATGATGTGGACAGTAGTTAATGACGTGGACAGATGACGTGGCGAGTTGCATTGCCGGTTTGCTGAAAAGGATGAAACTACCCTATTCCGGGAAATAAATTTAAAACTACCCTTGATTGGGAAATAAGTTTAAAACTACCCTTGGTTGGGAAAAAACTCCAATATTTTATATCATTCCATAAATACAATATGATTTGAAATATGGAACATTACATATTCTATGTCATTCCCTACCATATTTTACAAGGGGCTGTATACTCTTACAAACAAGGCACATAATTTAACTCTTTCAATTTCACAAAATACGTAACTCTTCGACTCTTTCAATTTTACATGACACGTAATTCAAGGGCGTCCATAAAATCTATATATATATATATATATATATATATATATTAATTGAGTTAAGTGGGTTTCCCACTCGTGCAAGGGTATTTCTGCAATAACCTATTATTTCTGATAAAATCCATCTGCGAGCCTTGGAGCCTGATAATTTTTCAACTCTTTCAATTTCACAAAATACGTAACTCTTCGACTCTTTCAATTTTACATGACACGTAATTCAAGGGCGTCCATAAAATCTATATATATATATATATATATATATATATATATATATATATATATATATATATATATATATATTAATTGAGTTAAGTGGGTTTCCCACTCGTGCAAGGGTATTTCTGCAATAACCTATTATTTCTGATAACCTATTATTTCTGATAAAATCCATCTGCAATAACCTATTATTTCTGATAACCTATTCTTACGGTTCTTACCATTCCACCTCTTCTAATTCTACCTTTTCTCTACCTCTTCTCCTTTCTAGACTATTATTTTCCGAAAATGAAAAATCTATGCGCCTTCTCTACACTCTACATGCAGTATTATTTTCAAAAAAAAATAATAATATGTGCTTATCGATTTTGCAGACTAATATCCACTGGCTTTCGCTCACGTCTTTGAGAGAGTCCATCTCAATCATTTATCATTCTTCAGGTTAGCATCATAATCTGAATTTCTCTTAGATTTCATTTAAAACCCTAGGTTTAGATGAAAGTGTATATCGTCTCTATCAATTCTCCTATGGCTGCTCCCTTGAAGGTCGGTTTGGAGAATATTAACACGCAGTTGGATGACAAGGCTATGTTATTGATGAAAATAGATCAAGATGGATTGTTCCCAACAAGGGAAATTCCTTAGAACCATATATGATTGAAATCGTTCTCATTGACGAGAAGGTACAACACTTACTATTTCATTATTATGTAGTGTAGTTCTTCTCTCTGCACCCTGCATAACTAAAATATTGAGTGTATTATTGAGTGAATTTAAAGAAACTAAAATATAAAAATGATTATTTCTATCATCTGTACAAGAAAGAAAGAAAAACGTTGACCTGTTTTAGGACCTAAATTTTTCTTGATTTCGTCCAAATATGCCAGCATTCAAAGAAACTAAAATTTAAAAGCGATCAGTTCTATCATTTGTACAAGAAAGTGATATTAATTCTCTGTTTTGTGACTTTGCATCCTTTTTATTCAACCTTCAAACTTTTAGTTATTTTTTCTTTCATTGTTATTTTACTTGGGCATGATGTAGTGACTCTCTCTGACTAAGGAGCAAACTTAGAGCCTTTCTTTGTGTATCTAATTTGTTGAGGATAGTTGAGGATTAATATTTTTACTGCTGCTTTAATTTCTTTATTTAAGTGTGTTTAGAAAAAATAGTATCAAGTAATTATAAAGCAATGACCATTTTATTGAAGCCAGGCAGATTCTCTAAGTCAAGAGTTTCATGTCAACCATTTAGTATTACTGAAATCAGCATTATGACTTCTCATTTTCTTCTAGCAGTGAATAAAAAATGTACTTTAAGGAGTGAAAATAGTGCAATTTTTTACTTTCATTCGTATTACAGAGTACTTCTTACCTTTAATCTGGCTCGCTGATGTGGCCTTTTATTTCATCATATATTGGTATGATGTATCGCCACAAAATGCTCGATAAACTAAAAGTTATAAATGTGTAAGGTAGTGCTTTAAGAATGCTATATTTGCTCCTCTTTCTATAATCCCTCTTTTCTTTTTGGACTTGATTAGAATAAAATAATGACGGGTAGATTAAGTCAAATACTCAAATTATATTATCTCAATCTAATTTGGACTCTATGCTAATCTATCTTATAGTTACATCACGTTAGTGAAATTAGCTGCTATAGCATATTAGTTTTATTTTTTATTTAATAATTTACATATATTTTTTTGGATGGAGTGTCTATGACAAATAATTTCATTGTTTGAGTTCCATTCACTTTCAGTTGCTTCTTAAAGCTTCAAATGAAATGAGTATATTGACTATGTGATATTACAAGCATTAGCAATTTTTCTTTTATGTTTTTCCCAATATAATC